AGTAGATAATGTTATGGATGATCTGGATCTTTTTGAGAATAAATGTAAAGCCAGATTAGATCCTTTAATCAACAAGGATAAAGCTTCACCCAGTAAAGCTTCACCCACTACAGCTTCACCCAATATTATACCACCAGAAATTAAGCAGTTTTCAGACAATTTATCCACAGTCTCTGTGGTTTCTGAAAACCCAATACCTGAAGCTACTAAGTTAACATGCCTCCAAACTAGAGGTGAAGCTGAACCAGTAGTAGAAAATGTAAATGAAAATAGCGACAGCACTAATTTCCCAGTCCAGCTTCCTAGGAATAATGCTGGCAATGAGAAAACTGTCATACATCTAGTACTACAGTTGCTGGATTTACCTCAACCTGATCAGACTGCTGACTCATTACAATCCTTCAGCATGGAGTTTGAGTCACTAATAAGAACATTCAGTCTTAAGGTTGATATAACTACTAGTGAATGGATGACCAAAGTAGTCCTTCAACGAAAATTGTCCAGCGATATACTAGATGAATTATATGCACATCAACATAACACCATCCTGACAGTACAGGACATCACTGAAGGTTTACATTCCATCATAAACAAACGACGTGCAAATGAGGAAGTTAAAGCCTCTTGCAAGCCTTCAGTAATAGAAAATAGTCAATTAAAGGGTAAAACAACTTCCCCAAATAAACATCAGTCAATTACTCTAACATCAAGTTGCAGAAAATCTGACAATGCAGCAGCAACCTCCAAGCCTACTGTTACTAGTTCACCCAAACCGGTAACTTCCAAACGTGCAGTAGGCTGGGGGACATGTATGTTCTGCAAAAAGAAACATTCAACATACCGTTGTGCTAATTATCCAACCAGAGACACTCGTATTGAGCGACTCCAGGAATTAGGGAGATGTTCAAGGTGTCTCAAGTCACACAACATAGACTATTGTGATACCCAATTCAACACCTGTAACAGGTGTAGAAGAGGTAGACACCATGCAGCACTGTGCAAATATACGAAATTAACGTCTCCAAACCCCAAGGTGGAAGATAGCATTCCCACCACAGTACAGTACTGCAAGGTGCAACCAACAAAGAGTGTCCACTCGGCAAAGTCTAAAGGTAATACGACTTTGCCTACTGCCCAAATTACCATCCTGAATAAGAGGGCCAAGGTCCATACCCGTGGGTTGTTTGACCAAGGATCCCAGAGAACATATATCACTAAAAAGCTGGCAGATGAACTACAATTAAGGCCTGTAGCCCAGATGTCATTCAACATCTCAGGGTTTGTAACAGATGCAGGACCTCAAGTCTACCAGGTGGTACAGCCATCAGTACGCTTAGGCAGGTACGTCTGTCGAGTACAAGCCATTGTGGTGGACAAAATACCAGTAGACCTACAAGTTCAAGGTCTGAGAGCAACAGTCAAATTCCTGAGAAATAGAGGAATAAAATTGGCAGATAATATTAAGTCTGATCACCTCACCGACTTCGGTCTCCTTGTTGGGACAGACTATTGCCATCGATTCATCGGTAGCCCTACTAAATATCAGGGTATAACCATGTTAAACTCTGCAGGAGGTAAATTACTCTCAGGCCCAGTATCAAGCCTGAGGAGACCTATGCCTGCAGATAAACAATACCAATAGAAATCTAAATTTGTCAGCTGATTATATTTCTCCAGTAGCATTATACTAAGGAGATTACAGCTGACTATACCAACAGAGGTTGATGTTAGTATCATCATTTAAAGCTGGAGATGAGTTCATGAGGCTTCAGTGGCAAATCAGTGAACAGTAGCCTAAAACAGCTACAAGTCACTGCGACCAATGTCACTGAACCCACTGCAGTCTCAGAACCATACTTTACTTTAATGATGAGCTATTCAATCCTCTGAATCAATTAACTAAATTAAACCCCAATAAATCTGATGACTGATTTGATACATTTATTATTTAATCAAGATGTATTCCATGGGCCTCAGTGTTTATATATCAGTGACCAGTTACCTGAAGAAACTTCAAGTTATATCTAATGTCACTGATCTCACTGCAGTCCCTGAATCATACTTGACTGTAGTACTTGATCACATTCAGTCTTCTGGGTTAAATAATATGTAATAAGGCTTGAATATTAGCCTTTCAAGAGTTGACAGGGAAATGAAATCGCATTAGACTTCTAACCCCTGCAACTCTAGTACGGGACATCCGTCCTGTACGAACAGACACACAAATGTGTGATTATTAACTACTAACATCAAATTAATCTAATAATTCGAAGGAGGAGTATCGGTGTGCGTCTGTTCTAATTAGGACTTCGACCCGTGAGCAGCCCCTGGGGAATTATGTCGGAAAATCCGACACCATTTAATATATCATACAGATAATAGCTGTGTTGTATAAACAAGTTACCCATAGAAAACGTAACCTGTAGTGGAATTACCGTCTAAAGAAAACGGGATATCATCACCACATACCATTATAATTCACCAGCTATTCTGCTGGGAATTATTCTTAAATACATTAGTCTTTGGACTTTACCATCATAAAAACATCTTATATAAATTAACTTAATTATCAATATTAAAGTAGAGTAAATGTGACCCTTCTATCACTTTCTGAAATCTGGACAAAGTAGGCCAGGCGTCAGAGTGGGGAAGGAGGGCAGCCATTGTTGTTATACGAGACCAGAGGCTCACACGGGAGCAAATTCGGCTCCTGTTAATTTTACTTGGACGTAGTGTTATGGATACCAAAGGTGTACCATCTGTCAACACGCTGTCAACAAATCAAGTTAAGTGTTCTTTCCGAAACCCATTATTTATCATTAGTGGCCATTAATGTCATTATATAGGGTGACCCGGTTAGATCACATGGAAGCCTCAAACTAAAGGTAATTAAGCCAGGTCTTCATGTTCCATGTACTGTTTTCTCTGATATACTTGTCATATATAGGTATCTGGCTTCACAGCTAGCGCACTTTTGACAGGTCAAGACGAGGATGCAAGATTTGTGCACCAGTTACTGGGTGATATGGAAGCTACCTCAAAGAGGATAATTTGGTGTCTACACCCTAGTTATACCTGGTGGACTAACCTGCTGTACTATAAGATAAGGAACCTCATCAATTTATGTAGTTAATACTGTAGTTTGATTGGCTGCATATATATAAATATAAACCCCCCCTAATGTGTAGAGGATCGATTTGTGAGATTGAGATTATTGCAGAAATACAGTCCACTTATCATTATACAAATTGCTATCGAAGTATATAAATTAACGTAAATATAAATTCATATAAATTAAATAAATATAAATCTCACAGGTCGGTTCCCACACCCGTGTTCACCCAAAGACCCCGTGTTCACCCAAAGACTCTGTGTTCACCCAAAGACCCCGTGTTCACCCAAAGACCCCGTGTTCACCCAAAGACCCCGTGTTCACCCAAAGACCCCGTGTTCACCCAAAGACCCCGTGTTCACCCAAAGACCCCATGTTCACCCAAAGACCCCGTGTTCACCCAAAGACCCCGTGTTCACCCAAAGACCCCGTGTTCACCCAAAGACCCCGTGTTCACCCAAAGACTCTGTGTTCACCCAAAGACTGTGTTTAGCAAAAAACAAAAATAAGTGTTAAAAAAAATCCGAGTTCACCCAACGACTCTGTGTTTACCCATGGACCCCGGATTCACCCAAGGACCCTGTGTTTACCCAACAACGCCGTGTTCACCTTGGGTGTTCAAACAAGGGCCCGTGTTTACCCAACAACGCCGTGTTTACCTTGGGTGTTCAAACAAGGACCCTGTGTTTACCCAACAACGCCGTGTTCACCTTGGGTGTTCAAACAAGGGCCCGTGTTTACCCAACAACGCCGTGTTCACCTTGGGTGTTCAAACAAGGGCCCGTGTTTACCCAACAACGCCGTGTTTACCCAAGGACTCCGTGTTCACCGCGGGCTCTCTTGTTTACCTTGTGACCCACACGTTATGGAGGACATCCTTCACCTGGACGCCTCGCAGGCGTCCAGGTGAAGGGTCTAGCAACACCCTAAATCTATTTTATGCTCTTCATAAAAGGTAACATAAAGCAGGTGCGGAAAGTTGGGTTTTTGTTTTGATATAATGAGTCAGTATCCTGATTGTAGGCTTCAAATTTGTAAATTTAAAGCGTCAATAAACTAAAATTTAATATAAAGTTTTACAAATTTGCTGTAGGCAACCGAAGCGTAAGGACCGTAATTCCTGCGGCAAGGTACGCAAGTCTTGAAGAAATTAGGATAAATGCCTCCATATACATCCAGCCTTTGATGATACTCGTTGAGATTTATATCTGAGGCAATGTATTTGTATATATAGTTTGAATTAAAGCGTTTAGTTGTGGACAAAACGCATATATGGCTGTGAAGGGAGAGACTTCCCGGACCAGCTGGGGTGAGAGAGGCCGCGGACAGGACGGCGCCAATACCCACCTGACGTTGCCTGCACTCATGCCGTAGCCTCGCCTTCCCGCCATGCTTCGTTCCCCGCTGCTCTTGTAGGAGGCACAGCTCCTCCCCACAGACGGTCCTCATAAATTTAAGAAGACATTTTAATGTTGGTTTAATTTTGTAAGCGTTTTGCTGAATTAATTATTTCTTATAAATGAATGGATGTAACCCAACCGTCCTTTCTCTGAACGAAACTAAATGTGTCAAACTAATTGTTATGGTGAGGAGATAAATGCCCCGCTGCCTGGCGCCACACGCACAATACCCGGCAACAACTAAGAGTCTGCCTCGGGGACATGCCATGCCTCTCTTGCCTTCAATAATTTCCCGTTTATCCTATATTACCATCGAATGTAGATCTATCATATACATCAGAAAACCTCATCAAATGTATTTAATGGACGGGTATGGTCAAATAATAACTGCAAAACTCAAGCAAATGTAGATTTAAACTTATATATGTATATATTATATGCGACTCTGAGTGGGCCTTCATGGTCAATACAAGAAGCAGACTATATCCTTCCTTCTGAGTCCGTGGCAGGTCAGCACAGTGACTGGGCGGTGATGGACGTGCTTCTCGACATCTCAAACATCAAGTTGGGCAGAACTAATAGGATATGATCTCGTGTGTCTCTTATTTGTCTAGGGTTGTGCAGTCTCACTTTCAAAGGCTCTTCCCGGGAGGTTTAAGCAAGTAGTATTGCTAAGATCCCATAGAGCAGCTCTGATTAGTGACCTTTTGCACAGCAGCTGGGAAAGACACAGTACCAGTGGAGGTAGCTCCGATGGACTAGTCCAAGATTGCTTCTTACTGGTGCATTGAAATCTCCTGATGGTCAGCGCAGGGGCGCACTCACAGGGAACCAGCAATTACGCGCAGAGTAATTCGGCAAGAAACAAATATTGACTAGGTTTCCAGTCGTGCGAGGAAGCATATAGAAGCCCCTCACTCAACACCATCCTCATGTGTAGAAACCAACCACAAGCCCAGTCGGGTAAGTACTGTATTACTATAACTAATTTAAGTAAATAGTTTATTATTATTATTATTATTATTATTATTATTATTATTATTATTATTATTATTATTATTACCAACTGTTTCCCACTTACCAAAATATACATATTTGCCAGTTGTTACTTTACACAGCTTAACAACTTACTATGAAGAAACAATTCAACATTTTTCCAGAATGCTGTAAATTTGCAATCATATGATTATAATATATTTGGACAACACTACTCATAAATTAAATACACAAAGATATAACAACAAGGTGGCCATTCTTCATGATCCAGTCGGTAGTCAGTGCACCTGAGGACTTTTTTTTTTTTTTTTGAGATATATACAAGAGTTGTTACATTCTTGTACAGGTATGTGGGTGAGATCCCATTGTAAAGCTTCAATAATGTTCTCTTACATTAAATACTTCAATTTTAAAATTTCTGTAACATACATCTATGTATATCAGTGAAGCTCTGTCTTAGACATAACTGAAACAGAGAGCATGGACCACACTCCAGCGAGCTCGCAACAAGTCCCCGGTCGCCCTACAAAGTCTCTTTCCTCCACACAAAGCATGGAGGGAAGCACTGTTGTGGAGCAGTCCTCTGGCGACCTGCCCCGGGCCATAACCTAACCTCGCTGGGTCCCTCACTTTCTTACCTCTGTACTCACTCTGACTGTCAGTTAAACTATACTGGCTGTACCTGTATAGTGCGTAGTCCTATATTCTCTCTGCCTGTTAAACCCTCAAACTCTAGGCTCTATACTAATTTTTTCTTTTCTTTTATGGATATTCCTGCGTGGGCCCTAAGCCTCTGGCTGGCCCGGCCCAGTGTTACTCATTTCAGTCTTACTGAGAAGGTGGATGACTTGTATGTTGACTTCAGCGAGGCTGTGTCCAATATGTTGACTTATAGAACGCTGTACCGTGTAACATAATGAACGTGAGGTCACTAGATTGTTTTGAAGTGTTGGTTAGACATATATATGCTTGAGTTTGGGTGGATATAAATATGAGCTGCTTTGTAAGGACCAATAGGCCTTTGACAGTTTACTTAATTCTTACGTATTTAACAACATCTGCTTTGTTAAATCTCAGTGGTAATATTATTTGGTTTATAATGTTCCAATTGTTTGTTTTGTTTATAATGTTTCAGTAGTTTGTTTGGTTTATAACTGTACACTGTGTTAGATAATGTTGTTATCTTATGTTGCTTTTAAGTTGGGAATGGCCAACAGTTGTCTGGCATTTCTCCACAATGCTGACATTTCCTCTCTTCTTCTCATAACCCGTAAGCCCATTGCCCATGCACTTAGGGGCAAGTCCGATGCGGTGTAAGTGCACCTCTGGTCTCTTGTTGTTCCTTTTCATCAAAATACGTGGTTTGTACTTGGTTGAATTCTAATACAAAACGAAAGATTTTGACGTTGCAGCTGCTGTGTTGTGGTCACTGTAAATCTTCAGCAATGCTCTAGCTCTATTTCTCAATCTGTGGCAGGCTCTGTGGTACGTAAATGTCTGCATTCCTCATCTTAGTTGCAAATTTTGCAGCTTCATCTGCAATGCCATTTCCTTGTATTCCTACATGACTTCGCACCTAGTTAATAAGTATTCGACGACCTTGACGTCTGAGTGTTTGTATCAATGTTTTGACATTTGTGGTCAGATGGAAGTTTTAGCTTTATACTAAGTCTGTTAAGCCCTAACACTATAAGCTTTATACTGTCTATGTCTGTTATGCTCACATATGCTTGGCACTATACTGTGTGCCCGATAATCTCTACGACACCCCAGCTCTATAATGTGTGCTTGTTAAGCCCACAGACCCCCAGCTCTATACTGTGTGCTTGTTAAGCCCTCAGATCACCAGCGCTATACTGTGTGCTTTTTAAGACCACAGACCACCCAGTACTATAATGTGTGCTTCTTAAGACCACAGACCACCAGTGCTATACTGTGCGCCAGATAAAGACAGAGACAGCTTACCAATAAGAGGAGAAGACGTAGCCAGGTCTCCAGAAGACCCAAAAGTTTTGCTCGGGTCTGTCTGCCTCCTGCTCCCACCGCTTGTGTTGACGTTCTGCCTGGCAATGTTTGTTTACATACTCCATTATCACCAGCACTTTGCGTGAATTACTATAATTCTGATGAAGGACATGTAAGTGTGGCCACAGTTTTCTATCATAAAAGAGTACTGCTAAATACTGTAATCTGGTTAAAGCGCGTGAGCCTATGTCGTAAAATAAAGATTAATTAACAAATATTTATTGCGGCTCGAATTAGCTTTTATAAGCTTGCCAGGTGGTCGCAGACCCTCAGCTAACTATACCCGTATGTGCAATGCAATGATAACGACAATGTTTATTTAGGGAAAAGAACATACTGTTAAGGAAAAGAATGAATCTGAATGGAGAAGTGGGATACAAGAAGTTGGATTTCTAGATAATGTATATACTGTGCCTAAATCCACTAAGACACACAACGTTCCGAGCATAACTAATGGCGACGTAACAAGATTGCGACTTTTTGTACACAAACTACCCTCCGAGACTTGAAACTAAAGGTAATCTGTAATATTGCGTATTTATCGATATTTTTTGCTTTTGCTTCTTAACCTGTTTGCGTGAATTAGGTTCTTGTGGTGGCTGCTCCAGTGGTATTGTAGAATATATTATTAAAAAAAAGGGCAGAAAGAGCTCTACAGAAAACTACTGGCCGATCAGCTTGACATCACACATCTGTAAGCTCACGGAGAAAATCCTCAGGGAGGAAATCTTTCAGTGAACAATCTTGTACAATCGACACAACATGAGTTTGTTAAAAAAAAGATCCTGCCTTACAAACCTGCTCACATTTTTGGAAACGGTCACCAGCTACTCAAAGGCCGTCCGGGGGATGTAGTATATATGGATTTTGCTAAAGTATTTGATAAGGTACCACATGAAAGACTGGCAAGGAAATTACAGGCCCATGGAATAAATGGGAAAATATTAGAATGGATAAAACAATGGTCGAAACAAGGAAAACAAAAAACATTGTGCTAAATTAAAACGAAACTGAATGGAGAAATGTGGTATGAAGGGTACCACAGGGGTCCATTTTGGAGCCATCCCCTTATTGTCATTTACATTAATGACAGATGAGAATATTACAAACCACATCATCAAATTTGCAGATGACACAAAGATTTATGGTAAAGCGGGAAATGATAATGATATTGAAGCCTTAAAAAGAGATCTGCATAGACTCCACAAATGGTCAGAATGCAAGACCCTGCATGTGGAGCACAGCAACCCACGCCACAACTACCAAATCAATGCCATTACATTACAGCAGATTGATGATGAAAAGGACCTGGGAGTCAAAATTCACCACTCATTGAAAGTTTCACAATAGATAGGGGGCAACTGTCAGAAAAGCTAACTAAATCCTCGGAATTATGAAGCGTATCTTTGACTTTAAGGAAAAGAAGGTTGTGATTCAACTGTATAAATCTCTGGTGCGCCCCCATTTGGATTACTGTATCTAAGCACAGAGACCTCACTTTCAGAAGAACATAGCTGCTCTGGAGAAGGTGCAACACCAGGCAACAAAAAGTTATTTTAGAGCTAAATCATCTCTCGTATCTGGTTTGGTTGAGGGCCACAGGCCTAACAACACCGCAAACCAGGCATGACAGAGCGGATCTCATTGAAACTTGTAAAATAGTGAACCAGTTGGAGGATGAAAAGGTCAAATGTAACAAATAAGGAGTAACGGTTTCAAGCACAACAAACCCCAATGTAGGGCTGAGAATAGGAGATGCTTTTTCACCCACAGGGTTATAAACCCATGGAACCGATTACCTGCCGAAATCGTAAATGCTAAACCTGTGTTAAGTTTTAAAATCTACCTGGAAAAGATCATCAAGACAAATGGGTGGGGGGGAACTTTCGACAAGCCGCCGGCTTCCTGTTCTCGTCGAGGACACTTGTGTTAATGGCCCTCAGGTAAATTAGGTAAAAATATAAGGTTCGAATCGTCCGGCGAGGCCACTGTTGCCCTCCGGTCCCTCAGCACATCAGCTGGAGAATGTAAACAAACATAATTCTTCTTTGCAATGCGCGAAGTATGCATGAAGGTTTTCCTCCCGATGACTGCACGAGTGGTAATGTTGAAAGATGTACTCACCTAGTTGTGCTTGCGGGGGTTGAGTTCTGGCTCTTTGGTCCCGCCTCTCAACTGTCAATCAACTGGTGTACAGGTTCCTGAGCCTATTGGGCTCTATCATATCTACATTGGAAACTGTGTAGGGAGTCAGCCTCCACCACATCACTGCCTTATGCATTCCATCTGTTAACTACTCTGACACTGAAAAGGTTCTTTCTAACGTCCCTGTGGCCAACCCGTCCTCGACTCAAGTCCATTACAACCAGCGGTCGACCCCACAGACGCATTCATAAATTTTAACATGCTGTTCATTCAAAACAGGAATTTTCTCATATATAAATTAATATTTTGATATATTAACATATTGTGCATATACAGGCATAGGTTAGGTGGTTGGGTTCTGTTGGCGATTATTTGTATTTGTAGTACGTGGGTGAAGCATATATAGCGTTGTGGTTCGAACATAATTCGTCAGTGAAGCATTTGTTCCGGAAGTGTTCGAACGAAATGAGTTGTGAGTCGTGTGTAAACCGTTTTTCATTCATAAACGGGGTTTGGCGGGTGCATGGAATCACTTTTGGATCTTTGTTTGGAGGACGGGCTGCTGTGGCTGGCTCATTTGGGTACTCAGTTTCCACCTGTGTCCTCTTGTTCGCGTACCACCCGTGTTAAACAGTTTATATTATCTACTCTGTCGATTCCTCTTAGAATTCTGTACGTCGTGATCAAGTCTCCCCGAGCTCTCCTGTCTTCCAGCGACATAAGGTACATTTCACGCAGTTTTTCCTCGTAACTCATGCGTCTTAGTTCTTGGACTAACCTAGTGGCATACCTCTGAACTTTTTCCAGCTTAGTCCTGTGCTTGTGGTGTCACTCAAGTGTTTCACTCACTGTGTCACTCAAGTGGCGCATCAATGTTCACAATTTAGCAGAGTTTGAAAGTTGTCGAGGTTGTCTGTTTGTGCGAGGATGATTGCAAAAATAAACATGTGAGTGGAACTTGACTCAGGACGGCAAAGGTGAGTTGTGTTGATGGTGGTAGCTAAGTGTTGCTGTTCTATAGAAATTGTCTGGTTTAGTGAAGAAACTGATTTTGTGAGGCGAAGCATGATTGAAAGTTAGTTGCAATTCAGATAGGTTAGGTAGATTAGGGTGGGAGAGATTAGGTTAGATTAAGTTAAGTAATGTGGGGTTAGAGCCTATGAGGTTAGGTTGGTTGAATTAGGTTCGTTTAGGTTAGGTTAGTTTAAGGTGGGTTAGGTTAATGGTGTCGTATTGCGGATCTTTACGTTTGGGATGTGATTGCATCGGTCTTCCTTAACGTGCTAGTAGTACCGCTTGTTGAATATCCGGGAGTGTTTGAAAATTGTGTCGTGGGAGAGTGTGGTTTATGTAGTTTTTTAGTAGAATTGTTAGGTGGTCGGGCGGGTTGTACAGCTGCGGATTTCTTACTCTTAGTACCGGTGGTTGTGACTTGTGGCAAGTCAGCTTGGGAAGTGACTTGGGTAAGGCGTGATAAATAGTTATTTAAGAGTTAGTCTAGTATCAGTTCATATGTTTTGTTTACAGAAATGGTAGATGCTTTTGATCGGATGTCATTGTCTGTAGATGTGGATGGGTGTGTGTTGGGGCAGTCTCGGGATGGGTTGGATTCCTTGTGTAAAGAGTTTAGTTAGGAGTCGGTTCAGTGTCTTTTCTAATGAATTTTCATTGCGAGTGACATGTGATTCAGCAAGATCTGTACACAGTTTTCAATTGAAAGAGGATTGGGCTCTGGGGATGCAGGATGGTCAGTGACAGACATATCAGGTACATGCAAAGGTTGTGGTTGAGTGAGTGGTAGTGATGGATGACGGACTGAGTTAGGTTGTGTCAGTGTACTACTGTATTGTATGCTGTTGGTGGGAAGAGTTTTAATAGACGTTTTTGCTGCTATGTATGAAGGACATTGTTTGAATTTATTGTCATGATCGCAATACAGTTTGAACAGTTGAGTATATCTGACACACATTCTTGTGTTTAATGGGAACCAGAGAATTTCCCACATTCGATGTCATTAGTGCATCCTTTTGAGGTATGTTTAAATCCTTTACATCTGAAGCACTGAGTGGGATGTGGTGTGTACACCTCTAGTTTATGGAGGAAGCCTTTATTCCAAACTCAATCAGAGAGAAAATAGTTTAGAAAGGTAAGTAGGGCTGTGCCAGTATCACTCGGTTCTCCGTTTGCTCTACGCATAAATGTTTTGATTCCGAAGATTGGAGTGTCATCTGCCTGAAGTTGTGCTTTGATGTCGTCAGCACTAATATCTACAACATGTCGGATTACATATTTCGGTAATCGGTCACCTAGTGGTTTATAGCATCTGACTTTATATCCACAGATATCAGTAACGTCTGAAATCTCTAGTTCCTCGCTGTGTTTCTGGTCCACTACGATTAAGTTCCTTTTATTTGTTAGATCTGAAATCGTGCATTTTGATCTTAAATATCTTGGAAATTTGCACGGTATATATGATAATTTGCATCCTGCTATATCCAAAAGCACTCCTATCCTCGGATGTATTGTCATCAAAGGCAATGTTGAACGTTTTTAAACCAAGAGAACTCGTCCTACCTTGGTTGAGCGGAGGATGTTGATAGTGAGGTCGCGAGGCGCCGGGACGGTCTTTGCTGGCGGCGCTTCGCCTCTAATCTGTTTGCTTTACTGTCCAGGAAAACTCCGCCTGGATCCTCCTCTTAGACCGGGGGAATATCTTGATCACAATACGTGCCATGCAACAGTGGTGTCTTAGGTAGCATAGGAGAGACGCTGTGAGCACCCCCAGCCATCGCCATGTAGCCTCACGCCCAAACAAACATTAAAGTACAAATCCACAAGGGCCGTGATGAGGGTTCGAACCTTGTGGATTGTGGAAAATGCAACCCGTCCTCCAAACAAAGACCGAAAAGTGAATTCATGCACCCGCCAAACCCCCCTGTTTATGATTGAAACAACCCGTCCTCGACTCTAGTCCATTACATCCAGCGGTCGACCCCACAGACGCATTCATAAATTTTAATATGCTGTTCATTCAAAACGGGAATTTTCTCAAGTATAAATTAATATTATAATATATTAGCATATTGTGCATATATAGGCATAGGTTAGGTTAGGTTAGATGTTTAGGTTCTGTTGGCGATTATTTGTATTTGTAGTACGTGGGTGAAGCATTTATAGCGTTGTGATTCGAACAAAATTCGTCAGTGAAACACTTGTTCCGGATATGTTCGAACGTCAGCAGTTGTGAGTCGTGTGTAAACCGCTTTTCATTCATAAACAGGGGGTTTGGCGGGTGCATGGAATCACATTTGGATCTTTGTTTGGAGGACGGGCTGGATTGAAAAACGGTTTACACACGACTCACAACTGATTTCGTCCGAACACTTCCGGAACAAGTGCTTCACTGACGACTTTTGTTCGAACCACAACACTATAAATGCTTCACCCTCGTACTACAAATACAAATAATCGCCAACAGAACCTAAACACCTAACCTATGCCTATATATGCATAATATGCTAATATATTATAATATTAATTTATATTTGAGAAAATTCCTGTTTTGAATGAACAGCATGTAAAAATTTATGAATGCGTCTGTGGGGTCGACCGCTGGATGTAATGGACTTGAGTCGAGGACGGGTTGTGAACCTTGTGGGAAATCACCTTCGGGAATTTGTTCATTTGATGCATCACGCTATTGTGATTTCTGTGTGTAATAAACATTGATGTTTTTGTTTCAATTGTTTATTAAGAGGTTCCTATACTCATCGTGTTAGTCAAAGCAGATACAGCATAAATACTGATTTCATTTTCCGAGCTTTTTCACAGACCACCTAGTGTAACCAATTATGTACTTTGAAGTACAGGAAAGTGCAAAAATAGGGACATATTGCCAGCGATGCGTGACTAAAATAAATTCCAAATTCATTAACAAGCATTATCACATTTGCATTAATGCTCACGTAAGTCACATTAACGTTAGTCATGCAAAAATCATTGGAGCACGACGGGGTATCGAACCAGCGACCTGGTAACACTAGCCGCGCTGAATCCTTCTCAGGGCAACCCGTCCTCTTAATAGAACTTTGCATTTTGACGTACACTCTACCTAAGGCCAAAAATTGTCGTACTAGAGAACGGCAGGGGCTTGCAAAATTTACACTGTCCCGTTTTCTGTTTTGGGTCCTCTGGTAGATTAGGATTAGGGCACTTTAGTACGACAGTTTCTTGACGTTGGGGAACCTTAGGATTACGGGTTGCTTAATGGACGCAGTAGGGTCCCAGGTATTATAACTTTAAATATTTCGTGGCCTAGGGTTGATAAACACCAACTGTGCCTAGTTGGTGTTCATCAGGTCGCTGGTTCGATACCCAGTCTTGCTTCAATGATTTTCGCACTTGCACAAATGTTATACAATGCATCAATTTAGGACAATGAGTATTGTACTTCATCAATTAATAAAATATGTAAGAGGTAAAGTATAATTAGCCTCGTTCAAAGCCTATCATATAAACTAATTCAAACATAAGAGTAACATAACAACTTTTTATCAAGGCACTGGATGAGTTGCTTCGTAAAGCTGTGAGTCAGCGAGGTTCTCATGGCCTGTGAGCCACCACGCCACCTCTGTCTCAACCCCTTATTATGGAGCTTCTCTTTTAATGTGATATATAGGCATCATAGGTACCAGGAATGTTGTTCTAATGGGCCGTGATCATATATGTCTGATTGGTATTGCCTGGAGTGGCCGCAATGTGAGTCTTAGCTTGACGTGACGGTGTGTTCCTTGCCCCTACAGGAGAGAAGGTGCGTGGGGAGGAGAGAGACAAGATGCCCTCCGCGTCTCCAGGCCTCCACGGCCGCCCCAGGTACCACCAGCTGCCCAGGATCAGAATTGTTGTGCTTGGGGCGCAGGGCGTCGGCAAGTCCGGTGAGTCACTCAGCCAGCGTGTTTACTGTTGTCGTCCTGTGGGTGTGGGAAGGGGGGGCAGGGAGCTCTTGTCCTGTGGGTGTGGGAGGGGGCAGGGAGCTCTTGTCCTGTGGGTGTGTGGGGGCAGGGAGCTCTTGTCCTGTGGGTGTGTGGGGGCAGGGAGCTCTTGTCCTGTGGGTGTGTGGGGGCAGGGAGCTCTTGTCCTGTGGGTGTGTGGGGGCAGGGAGCTCTTGTCCTGTGGGTGTGGGAGGGGGCAGGGAGCTCTTGTCCTGTGGGTGTGGGAGGGGGCAGGGAGCTCTTGTCCTGTGGGTGTGTGGGGGCAGGGAGCTCTTGTCCTGTGGGTGTGGGAGGGGGGGGGGCAGGGAGCTCTTGTCCTGTGGGTGTGGGAGGGGGGCAGGGAGCTCTTGTCGTGTGGGTGTGGGATGTCAATGAACTAACAATAGTGTTCCACAATATCCCTGACTGACAGCCTACGCGCCGCCTGGCTCAAGGGTGTAATGCCATGACCATGTCCTTACAAGTACACGGTGTACTCAATCAAAAATATAATACCTTTATTTGGGCAATATTTATAAATGCAAATTATTGTAATATTTCGTTCATAACCGGTGGTTAAATGTATTTTTTGAATCAATGATATTGACCATTCGTCTTTAATTGTGTGTTTTCATTTTTAATTTATTAAGAGACCCCATTAGCATTCCAAGATGGGTAACATCTTCGGATACGTCTTTGTGACATACTGTCAACCTGTGGTGTTGACAGCCCGCTACTGCCACTGTCATGTCACGAAATTGAAATTGAAATAAGTTTATTGAGGTAAAATAGACAGAAAGGGATGAGGTAGCTCAAGCTATCCTCGCCCGTTCAGTACATTGTGTTAATATATACATAGACACACATCACAAACAATAAACATACTACCGAACATTCTGAGAGATAAACATATACATTTCCTCCTTTACACAAGTCGTATGGTATCAGACGTACACACAAATACTTTTATGACCTAGGTATACTTCATGTCAGGAGGGTGAGGGTGGTGGGTGATGGTGCAGTGTTGACCCCCTTCTAGGGGTGTACCGTAGAACAGGTTTACTCTTACTATCCAGCAAGCACAGGTCATGGGACATCCCAAGGAGCAATAATCTACACTGTGTCACAAGGTACCTGGACCCCTTAATCTCCAGCAGGGACCTCGGCGCTCCTCGCCCCTTATGGTGAGGCCCGCGACCATTATACTGCTTCTCAGCTTCCATTATCTCAGTTACTTCCCATTCGTTCTGCAGAAGAGGAAGACATTGTTATCTCAGGGTGGGTGTTGGGAAGGGGGTGTGGGGTGTGGGCGTGGGGAGCGGGAGAGAATATGTGGGCGTAAACAGGATGACAAGGTTAAGGGTGCCTTCATAAGGAGTGTGACTCACGCAGGTCTGCGCCACATAAGGTGAGGATGTACAGCCTCCCGCCACGGGTGGAGTCTGCCGGCATCACGGCTCTGGGTGGAAGCCCGCCAACACGGCTCTGGGTGGAAGCCCGCCAACACGGCTCTGGGTGGAAGCCCGCCAACACGGCTCTGGGCGGAAGCCCGCCAACACGGCTCTGGGCGGAAGCCCGCCAACACGGCTCTGGGCGGAAGCCCGCCAACACGGCTCTGGGCGGAAGCCCGCCAACACGGCTCTGGGCGGAAGCCCGCCAAAACGGCTCTGGGTGGAAGCCCGCCAAAACGGCTCTAGGTGGGAGCCCGCCAACACGGCTCTGGGTGGAAGCCCGCCAACACGGCTCTGGGCGGAAGCCCGCCAACACGGCTCTGGGTGGAAGACCGCCAACACGGCTCTGGGCGGAAGCCCGCCAACACGGCTCTGGGTGGAAGACCGCCAACACGGCTCTGGGTGGAAGCCCGCCAACAGGCTACGCTACGGAACGCGGGAAAATGTCTTACACCAAGTGTCTGGTTTCATAATTCCTAGAGCGGCATTGTAAGACTGCTGACTACTTCTGTTAGTTGGTAACATACATCAGTTGTTGCAATAGGCAGCCAGGAGAGTGGCGACCAGGGAACAAGCAGCCAGGAGACTGACTGACCAAGGAACAAGCAGCCAGGAGACTGACTGACCAGGGAACAAGCAGCCAGGAGACTGACTGACCAAGGAACAAGCAGCCAGGAGACTGACTGACCAAGGAACAAGCAGCCAGGAGACTGACTGACCAGGGAACAAGCAGCCAGGAGATTGACTGACCAGGGAACAAGCAGCCAGGAGACTGACTGACCAGGGAACAGCCAGGAGACTGACTGACCAGGGAACAGCCAGGAGACTGACTGACCAGGGAACAGCCAGGAGACTGACTGACCAGGGAACAGCCAGGAGACTGACTGACCAGGGAACAGCCAGGAGACTGACTGACCAGGGAACAGCCAGGAGACTGACTGACCAGGGAACAAGCAGCCAGGAGACTGACTGACCAGGGAACAAGCAGCAGGAGACTGACTGACCAAGGAACAAGCAGCCAGGAGACTGACTGACCAGGGAACAAGCAGCCAGGAGACTGACTGACCAGGGAACAAGCAGCCAGGAGACTGACTGACCAGGGAACAGCCAGGAGACTGACTGACCAGGGAACAGCCAGGAGACTGACTGACCAGGGAACAGCCAGGAGACTGACTGACCAGGGAACAGCCAGGAGACTGACTGACCAGGGAACAGCCAGGAGACTGACTGACCAGGGAACAGCCAGGAGACTGACTGACCAGGGAACAGCCAGGAGACTGACTGACCAGGGAACAAGCAGCCAGGAGACTGACTGACCAAGGAACAAGCAGCCAGGAGACTGACTGACCAGGGAACAAGCAGCCAGGAGACTGACTGACCAGGGAACAAGCAGCCAGGAGACTGACTGACCAGGGAACAGCCAGGAGACTGACTGACCAGGGAACAGCCAGGAGACTGACTGACCAGGGAACAAGCAGCCAGGAGACTGACTGACCAGGGAACAAGCAGCCAGGAGACTGACTGACCAAGGAACAAGCAGCCAGGAGACTGACTGACCAGGGAACAAGCAGCCAGGAGACTGACTGACCAGGGAACAAGCAGCCAGGAGACTGACTGACCAGGGAACAAGCAGCCAGGAGACTGACTGACCAAGGAACAAACAGCCAGGAGACTGACTGACCAGGGAACAAGCGATCCCAATTTTAACTTTAAATTTCGGTGTTGGTGCATATTACAACTAATTATACTGTGAGTGTAGAGGGCTGAGGGACCTCTGGCGACATATCCATTTTGTATAAGAATTCAAGGTTCTTCACGTCTCTTAACCTGAATTTACCTGAGGGTCACTAACACTCGTGGCCTCGAAGAGGACAGGAAGCCGGCGGCATGTCAAATTTCTCCCCATTTCCCCTGATTTTCCCCTTTTCCAGTTGGATTTTAACATTTAACAGAGATTTGGCATGTACGGCTTCGGCGGGTAGGCGGTTCCACGGGTTAATAACCCTGTGGGTGAAAAAGCATCGCCTGTTCTCAGTCCAACATTGTGGCTTGTTGAGCTTGAACCCGTTGCTCCTTGTTTGTGTTACATCTCACCTGTTGAAGAAATTTTCCGGGTCAACATCATCCAAATTGTTCAGTATATTACAAGTTCCAATAAGATCCGCCCTGTCATGTCTAGTTTGTAGTGTTGTTAGCCCTGTGGTCCTCTACCGTTCCTGATACGTGAGTTGACTTAGCTCTGGAATTATTTTTGTTGCTCGGTGTTGCACTTTTTTTCAGAGCAGCTGTACTCACCTAATTGTACTCAGCTAATTGTGCTTGCGGGGGTTGAGCTTGTCTTTTTGGTCCCGCCTCTCAACTGTCAATCAACAGGTGTACAGATTCCTGAGCCTATTGGGCTCTATCATATCTACATTTGAAACTGTGTATGGAGTCAGCCTCCACCACATCACTGCCTTGTGCATTCCATTTGTTAACTACTCGGACACTGAAAAAATTCTTTCTCTGTGGCTCATCTGGGTACTAAGTTTCCTCCTGTGTTCCCTTGTTCGTGTCCCACCCGTGCTGAAGAGTTTGTCTTTGTCCATCCTGTCAACTCCCCTGAGAATTTTGTAGGTGGTTATCATGTCTCCCCTTACTCTTCTGTTTTCCAGGGACGTGAGGTTCAGCTCCTCTAGCCTTTCCTCGTAGCTTATTCCTCTCAGTTCCGGGACGCTGAATCTTCTCTAACTTTGTCTTGTGTTTAACTAGGTATGGACTCCAGGCTGGCGCTGCATATTCCAAGATTGGTCTGACATAAGTGGTATACAGGGTCCTGAACGATTCCTTACACAAGTTTCTAAAGGCAGTTCTTATGTTGGCCAGTCTAGTTGGCTAGAAGCTATGTGCTTCTGAAGATGTTGTCTCCATGCCTGGATGCAATAATCCAGATGGGGGCGCACCAGATATTTATGAAAATGAATCACTACATATCATCATACATATTGAGGTAATCAATATGTATATTTGATTATCTTTCACGGCGACTCATAATCCTTAAGATGTAACCCACAACAGTTACCTAAGTCTCCGGTAGAAAATTTGCCCAAACTGACCCGGAAACTCTGGTTCCAATTGGCTGTGAACCGAGTGCGTTAAGCACCGCCCCATTGGGCACAGTGTCCAAGACCGGCGTTGGCTCGACGTCGAATCAGTTGAACGTTGGGTACTGGAGGCCGGCGGGGTCCCACAAGTCCCCCCCCTCTCCTTGTGGTAACGCTGTTTAGTCATTACAAGCCCTACGGTGAATACTTCTTCCCTGGAGAGGAACAAATTGAATGAGCATGGGTATATAAACTTTTGACCACCCTGTACAACGTACATGGTAGCTGTACGCGACTATGTCCGTTGAGCGGTAGTCATAGTGGTGATGAAGGACACAGTTGTACTGTGAGTGTGTGAACAGAACCACTGTGAGCCTCCCTGGGCCTGCCCACGGAACTAACCTTCGCTGACACTAGGCAGGCCGTTGGC